AGAGAGAGAGAGAGAGAGAGAGAGAGAGAGAGAGAGAGAGAGAGAGAGAGAGAGACGCGAATTAAACGTATATTTAATTACGAAACATAAATTAAAGGATGCGAACCGATAATATGATAAAGTCACAAATAAACAAAGCGTGCGCGATGTACGTGAAAATAACTTTATTCTCGGGCGAAGGAGTCGTCGCTGTAATAAATAAATAACTTTGTATTAGTTTTAATGCAGAAAGTCAATGTCATTCCTTATCTCGACGTTTTTCGCGTTTACTACCGTTTCACGTCCACGTCGTGGATTATACGATTCGGACGGCGGTCACAAAATCGAAAAAAGGAGACGATTGCGTCTAGCTCGCTGCTGAAATACTCGATATTATTCTCTGTTCAAAGTGCGGTTCGTATCCACTCGAGAAACGGAACGATACGGAAGAATCTTTCGCGGACGATCCCGCGGTATATGTCCTGTTCCTTCACACGGCATCTTTATTTAACAGGCTCGGCGCGATGATACGCTCGAACTCCACCGGTATAATATTTAACGACGAGATGGACGACTTCAGTTCGCCCAACATAACCAACGGCTTCGGACTCCCGCCGTCACCGGCGAACTTCATCCGACCTGGCAAACGGCCACTGAGCTCGATGTGCCCATCTGTGGTGGTAAGATCATCCGTATCTACGGTAACGTCAATGGATCCGCCGGGGGGGAAACTCGAAAAATAGCGCGAACATAGAAAGCCAGATAACGCTTTGGACGCGTCGTGGAGACACCGATGAAATTTAATTGTGACAATAAATTGTTTGCGATAAACGAACGTGATAACTCATCGATTTCGAGAATCGCTCGATTCAATTATGAGTAATAGCAATTCATAATGCACGCGATCATGATGACTTCACCGTCGCTCGCCGTAAAGAGAGCCTCGCTAATGTCTCCAGACGAGCACGTAGTTGGAAATGATAGATTACGATACGGGATCATGAATAGATCGTCTGAGAGCATTTGTTAGAATAATTTAAAGTGGAACGAATGAGAAGTATGGCCACGATGAAAAGTCAGGCCACGATAAGTCAGATCGAGTTGCGCGGAATGCTGCAACAGCATTCGTGATAATCATTTCGTAGTAAGTCTCAGATGCCTTGGCAGACAGATCGGAGTTAAGCAGAGATAATATACTAGTGTGGCAGTACGGACACGCGACGGATAAAATGATAGAAAAACTGCAAGGTGTTAAACTAAACTCAATTAAATGATTTCTTTCAGCTCGACGCGAAAAACAACGTGAGATTAGTGATAGGTGCGGCGGGCGGCACGAAAATCACAAGTGGCGTTGCGATTGGAATGATTTTGAATCTTTTCAATGGCTACAATATAAAGGAGGCAATTGACGCGCACCGACTTCATCATCAAGTGAGTAGAATGAGAGATATGAGCGTTTCAACGTGCAAGAAATCTCGATCGACTCTAGCGTTACCACATTACGACAAAAAAATGGTTTTTAACCTCGTAATAAGTAGAAAATATTGTCCTTTTTATTATGTATCATATGAGAAAAACACTATGTACGCTGGAGTTAGCGATTATGATTTAATGAAAATTAAAAAAAATTGCAGTTGTTACCAATGAACGTGCAGAACGAGCACGATTTCTGCGAATCTACGTTGAGTTATTTGAGGAAAATCGGACACAACGTCACCACCTTCAGTGGGATTGGCAGCGCGATCACGGGTATATCCAAAGAAAAAGGATATATAACCGCGAACTCGGACTATCGCCGACAAGGAAGGACGGCAGGATTCTAGAAATGACGTTCCTTACGTTCTACGCGGTCGACCTTGTAACGCTGGGAATTTTTCTGCACTATCGCAATTCTTCACGACGAGTAAACTACTGTTGCCAGTGATTTCGAGCCCCCTTACGTCTACGCCCGCTCTCTGTGGCATAGAATCTCTATCGTCATGTGCGTCGTTCCGAGAAAAAGAAAGAAATAGTGCAGAGCAATGCATAAGGTGCTTATCGAAGTTGCAAAGTCATCCACGTAGGAAATGCGCGATATTAGACAATTTTTATACGTAAATATCGAATTTGACTTCTAATTTTATGATTATTTCAAAGTGATACATACATTTACATATATATATATATTTGTCAAAGCGAATTGTTCGAGTCTAATTGCTGTAACGTGTGTCACACTGACTCGAAATACCCATAATTATTTATCTCTTTGTTTTATTGTTGACCCGCGACACGCGATAATACGATAATATCGATAAACGCAAGGATAGTGTAATTAGTTTGCGTATGTGTTTCCCGTTTGGCTGTAAATACTTAACACAGTTGCGACAGACCGCAAGTGCATGCATGCATTCGTATTGTTATCGTTTCACGGATCATCACATTTATATATTTCACAATATATTTTTTTTTTTTAAATATGGATCATATCTCCGCGAGCACAAGTACAAATTAACACTTATCATCTCTGGATTCTTCGCGAGCAGTATTTTCCTAGAGCAAAAATATAACAGAACAATCGTATATACCAATAGTCAGTAATGTAGGATCCTATCTTGGATAATGTACAGACACTTAGCTGTTCGTAGATCCTACGAGTAGAGTAAAGGCACCAAAAGCGACATATCACTTTGTTTTTGAAGGTTATGCTTAATGTGAAGCTCAAAATATAAATATAAAATAGAGTTCAAAGAAAATGGGTGCCAAAAACGACATATTGGAAGTTATATAACATGTTGCATATATGATAATATTTGATAATAAATAGTTTGTTAATGCGTTTAATGGTTGAATAATATTCATTTTATTTAAAAGCAATATTTATTTTAGTGTTCACTGATATATATAATTACAAATAATTATTGAAAATAATTTACATTTATATTATTGCAGCAGAGTAAGTTCATATACAACACATGTCACTTCACAATGTGAGGTTAGAATTAGATTATGTTAGTCACAGACTATCGTAGCTATCGCATTCTATAGGTATGTCACTTTAAAACATTCTCATAAAATTTTTCAAGTTACACAGTAAAAAAGTGATAAAGATTAAAATATTCAAAAAATATTTGTACAAAAGCTAAATGCATCTAGAAGAACTTAATGTTGAACAAAAAGATAATTATCGATGTTTAGTTTACGTAATTCGGCAATAAAAATCATAGAAATAAAACTTGCGAATTTCTAAAACTCAATATTTGCTAATTTAGCATATAAAAGAACAAGAAATATACCAAGTATGACTTTTTTATGACTTCACTGGTAAAACGAATTACGTTTATAATAGTTTCGATAAAATACAACATTTCATATATGAGATATAGAGGTGTGTCGTTTTAGGAGGCCTATGTCGCTTTTGGCTACTTTCCTCTAACCTAGTAGATCCTAGGTAACGAAAGTGAAATAAGTATTGCGTGTAACCGCGCTAGACAATACCGTGCAATATTGTCATATGTGATATACGCTCTTGTGTAATAAAAGATAAAACCGATTATTGTTACGTTTGAATAAATATTGATATTTAAATATATTGGTCTTTTGAATCATTTAATCGACTGCTTTTAGTCAAGATTTTAGCGCGCAAAATCAATTTCAATTAAAATATCATTAATTAAATAATGCGAGTAATTTAGTTACCATTAATTGTGTTAATATCTGATGATGTAGGTATACGATAGTGTCTGACGATGACATATAAAATACTTGTGTAGATTAAACTGTAAGTTTAGTTTAACTGTGTAAGTTAAACTGAATTCTTTACCATTTTGCGAATAACCACGAAAAAATTTAGAGTTATTAATTAAAGAAGGTGAATAATTCTGTGCGATTGTTCGTCAATCTTTTTGACTTAATCTATGAGAGTTTTATATATTATATATATCAGACACCCTGTATATTTCATTCGTAGCCACACCTGTAAATGAATTCTAAATTAGCTAGACGCTACAAAAACGAGCTGCCGCGCATTATTTATCTCTAAATCCTTTTTAAATAATTTTGGGCTATCTAGATGCTGTCAATCTTCGCGCAGTGATTTTTTGGCAATAGCATTTACGTCTAAACAGTATGTGCATTACGTAATATAACATAACTGTTCAAATTGTACACTCATCATTTTGCGGAATAACAATATAACATTTGGCTATCGCTAAAAATGCTGAGCTAAATCACATTTTTCGCAAAACCATCACCTTCAATCTGTGTTTTTGACTCACCGAAATACCGGGAGCTCAGGATCGAACTACGTTCTGCTGTAAACCTGACAAGCAAAAAATATGATATTATCGATCAGATACAAGAATTGATGTCGCAGTAAAGAAATTGTAAGCGTCAATACAAACATTAACTTTTTGCGATATTTGTTGACTCGACGATAATAACTTCGATCATTATGTTCTAGTTTTTGAGCGCAAAAAGTGCTCAAAAGTGGATGAATGCAACAGTATAAAGCAAAAATATAATATTATCGATCAAGAATTAATGATGTAATGGAAAAAAACGCAAACGTTAATACAAGCGTATCAAGTTTTTGCAATATTTATGATTTGACAATTATGTTCTAGTAATTACTAGCTTAATTTTATGATAATTATTCCGAAAATTATGTTCTAGTTTTCGAGCGCGCAAAGAGTTAATGAATGCAACAGTGCAGGAAGTCTATAAACCTACCTTCGAGTCGATCCAGCTTACCTCGAACAAATCTTCCCGTGCAACATCTGCATCTATCGAAACTGCACTCCCTGGGGATCGTATTCACTGAGTGTTCACAAGCTCCATTAAATCTGAAACAAAAACAAAGAGTTTTTGGTTAGTTACGTTGTTAAAATGTTAACATATTCAGAATACAAAGGCTTATATAAGACAATGTTTTTTTTAAACTGATAAAAATTAAATATGGCGATTATCTGCTCGAAATTTGAAAATGTTGCCATTGCTCAAGACAAAGTTAGCATGATGATTGCGTTTACGAAGTAATATAATACGTCTCATATTTTAATTCAGAAAAAATCAGAAATTATGTATGATATCTTTAATATTTTCTATATCGTAACATTATACACATTCTTTATATATATATCGTAACATTATACACATTCTTTCATAGTATTTAATATCCTTTGACACATTTAAAGTGCTGAGAAAAAATAATCTCTGCGATTTTTCAAGAATTCTTACAATAGAAGTTTCGCATTGGTATCTTAAATTTCTGGAAACACGATTACAACAAAACATCGGAAATGAAACTAATTTTGATTAGATGTTATTTTTATAAGTCCACGAAAAGTAGCAGTAATTACACGACAAGTTAAATCGCTCCTTTTTTTCTGATAATTAATACTCGCGCATATATGATGCGTCGGCATTTATTTAAAACACGCAAATAAAATGTAAATTACCCCCTAACTCGGACAAATTTCATTATAACAAATGAATTATGATGAAAGTAGATTAGCATATAATTCAACACTAATATTTTAAATGAATGAATTAGCAGATTAATACTGGAAATTCGTAAATTATCAGACGAAGTTGTTGCGCAATAACGTTCGTTTTATGACACACATGCATACGTTTATAGACAATAAATGCGCTAGAAATTTAGCAACCCGTATTAGACTATTATCATCCTGAACGAAACTAATGTTCTATTGAAAACATAGCTATGCTTAGGAGGAACAATAGCTAATTTATAATTAATACTTCTATTATTAGTGGTAAACACGCGAAACAAAGCGATACAGATCAATAAGGAGAGTTAGAAATCGCCAGAGAGACTCTTCTGCCATGTCTCAAGGTTTTCCGCCGCCATAGTAATTGACATTCTTCTTGGGTTTGTCCTTAACCATTGCACTCGCCGCACGTCGCGAATATAGAGTGTACGTCTTTTTCCGTTAGTGTATATATATATATATATATATATATACACATATACATTTGACCTTCGTTAACAACATCCGCGTATTAATGCCAATCTCCTTCCGCGTTCATCAGCAGAACATAATTTAGTTGGGCCAAGTTGTATCCACTATTTATGAAAAAATTTATAAACCGTTACAAAACTAAAAAGACTCTAACTAAATATACAATAAAGCGCAGAAAGTCAATATAAGCAAGTGATAATCATAAACCGCCGGTGAACTAGCGAAAAAATTATTAATTTATAACATTTTAAGTTACAATAAAAAGTCTGAATAGACTTCGACTAAATTATGTTCTGCTAATGAACGCGGAAGGAAATTGGCATTAATACGCGGATGTTGTTAACGAAGGTCAAATATATATATATATATATGTACTAACGGAAAATTATATTAAAATGTTATAAATTTATAAATGTATATTGAAATGTTATAAATTTATAATTTCAGAAAGTCACGCTGTCTTATTTATTTCTCCTTCACGAATTTCCTTTGTTATAACGAGAAAATTGCAAACTACAGCGCGACGGTTATATTACAGGATATAATGGATATATTTCATATTATTAACAAGTAACATTAATTTACTTTACGTCTATTGCATTATTTTTTCATTATTTTATAAATTCACAATAAATCGCAGAAAGTCAATATAGGCAAGTGAGAGTCATAAACCGCCGATAAACTAGCGAAAAAATTATTAAAGTCTATATAGACTTTTTATTGTAACTTGAAATGTTATAAATTAATAATTTTTTCGCTAGTTCACCGGCGGTTTATGACTATCACTTGCCTATATTGACTTTATGCGATTTATTGTGAATTTATAAAATAATGAAAAAATAATAGACGTAAGGTAAATTAATGTTACTTGTTAATAATATGAAATATGTCCATTATATCCTGTAATATAACTGCCGCGCTGTAGTTCACAATTTTCTCGTTATAACAAAGGAAATTCGTGAAGGAGAAATAAATAAGACAGCGTGACTTTCTAAATGAGTTTTCTTCAAAGTGTTCGTCGTCCGAAAATTTATTTGATTTAATATTTGTATATACTTTTCACTGAAGAAGAATCGCTATTAAATTAATGTTACTGTATGCATATAATAAAGCATATTGTGAGAAATAGAACAATGAAATATTCACTGTAACGATTCCTTTTTCGTATACTTACCTAGATTTATTGACATTGTGGAAAGAATAATTTCGTCAATTGTCATCTAACATATCAGTCTGCTAATAATTTACGCTGGTTTCTGCTATTCCCGGTCGTTATAAACGTTATAAATGTTATAATTCATTTTAATTTGAATTTTAGGAATTTGCCCGGGGAAGTAACTCGCCGGCGAGATATACGCGACTAAATTTTATCTCCGCGATCTATGCGCGTCGATGATAAATACCTCGTATTACGACTCGGATCTAAAGTACACAAACGATCGCGCGAATTAATTAAACGACATTACACGTATTTATTGCATTTGATTTAAATCAACAAAGAGACAAGTGCACTTACTGTCACGCAAAAAAACGATTTGAATAAAGTTTCGTAACTGTCCTGACTCATCGTCCTGTTGATTCGCAAAGATAATTTGCGGTATCCAGGTACACATAAGTCCACGTAATATCAGCCTCACGAGAGAATGTATTACGCACAACACGTTATAGATCATAACAATGTTTTATATAGTATAGGATTTGTATGAGAGGCATTCTATAGCAATCAAAAGTGTTTTAATTAATTATCAAGCCGCGCTAGATCGAATTTACATATCCGATGTTATTGCATTTCGCGCAACACAATTTTCCAAGAATGGAAATATTACAAAGTCAATATGCATGTACTTTGGCATGGTAATGTCGTAACTGATGAAACGTAAATTGAACAAACGGGCATACTTCTGGCTGCGTCTAGAAATCTCAGTTATACTGAAAAAAATTGTTGCTATAAGCAATTTTTATTGGCTTTATACAAATTTTCTGCCGCAATCATTTACATTTTGGGAACAACATATTAGTAAGTCAGTGCAATTACAAATTGATTCTTGAAGCCAAAAAGAAAAGCGATGCCATATTTTATTATTTTTCTGGTTGACACAACCATTCTTTTTTTTCGTGTGTAACTACGATTATTTTTATTATATGTTAGTATCATGTCGAGAGGATGAGAGAGAGAGAGAGAGAGAGAGAGAGAGAGAGAGAGAGAGAGAGAGAGAGAGAGA